CATTTTTCAAAAAATACTATTCCCGCATTATAATAAAAAATAATAGGGGCCAAACAAAGGCTAAATCTTTTACTTATGTTATGGGGTTCATTTAATTTATAGCATGATAGATTAGCACAAATAGGAGTTAGCACTATGAAAAGAATGGTTAAATGTGGATAAATACAATGTGACGTTGATAACTTGGAAAAATGTGAAACATGTATTAAATCAAAGATGATTAAAAGGCCATTTTGTAGTGTAGTATGATCAACAAACTTACTTGAACTTATCCATTCTCATATATGTCAATAAATGGAATGCTAACAAGAGGCAGTAATAGATATTTTATTACTTTTATTGATGATTGCTCTAGGTATACATATGTATATTTGTTAAAACATAAAGATCAAGCCTTTAGTGCCTTCAAAACATATAAAATTGAAGTAAAAAATCGAGTAGGAAAAAACTTAAAAATCTAAGAAGTGATAAAGGTGGAGAATACTTCTCTAATCAATTCAATGTGTTTTGTGAATAAAATGGAATAATACATCAATGTCTTGTACCATAACACCGAAACAAAATGGTCTAGCAGAAAGAAAGAATAGAACATTCTTGAAATTGATAAATGCAATGTCATTGAATTATGAATTACCATTCAATCTGTGGGTGAAGTCTCACATAGTGCCTATCATATAGTAAATAGGATTTCTTTGAAAAAGAACAAGATCTCTCCATATGAAACACAAAAAGGAAGAATTAATTATTTCTAAGTGTGGGAATGTTTTGCTTATTGTAAGAACACGGATCCCAAGAGAACTAAATTAGGTCCTAGAGGTATCAAGCATGAATTTGTGGGATATGCTCTAATTAGCAACGCCTACATGGATGTGGAGGTTTTAGAGAATGAATTAGTAGCAAGAAAATCTCAAAATAATGGAGATAATCTAAATTCTAGAGAATCAAAAGAAGAGACATCTACATGAGATGTTGAAAGTGAACCTTGAAGAAGTAAGAGAACCAAAAAGCAAAAATATCCAGGATTGGATGAAATAGATTTTCAACTTAGTTCTTTCTATTTAATAGAGGGAAATGGAAAGGATGTTGTAGGAACAACTTCTTTTGTTCTTCAAGTTGAAAGTCATCCTAAAACCTACAAGGAAGCGATGTCTTCTAGAGATTGTATATTCTAGAAAAAAGCTATAAATGATGAAATGAATTATATTATATCAAATGACACTTGGGAAATAGTTGATTTACCAAATGGTTCTAAAGCCATTAGCTGTACATGGGTTTTTAGAAATAAATATAACTTCGATAGAACAATTAATACCTATAAAGTCAGATTATTAGCTAAAGAATATTGATAAAAGGAATGAATAGATTACTTTGACACATAAGTACCCATGTCTAAGATAACCTCGATAAGGATCTTATTTGTATTAGCATCAATTTATGATTTATATGCTCATCAAATTGATATCAAGGCGACATTCTTAAATGGAGATTTCGAATAACAAGTTAATATGGAATAACCGAAAGTTTGTTTTACCAGAAATGAATATAAGGTGTGCAAACTAATCAAGTCCTTATATGGATTAAAATAAATCCCTCAAAAATAGCATAAGAAATTTAACTCTAAAATAAAGTTGAATGGTTTTAATTATAATTCGATAAACAAATGTCTATATACTAAAGTAAATGATAGTATAATTACATTAATATGTCTATAAATTGATGATATGTTAATCATCAACAACTATGTAGATGGAATTAAAGAAAAAAAGAGGTTTCTATCATCCACGTTTAAGATGAAACATCTTGGACAGTAGATAGTATCCTCAGTATTAGAGTAAAAAGTGATAGTGGAGGTTTTACATTGAGTCAATCATATTATATTGAAAATGTGATAAATAAGTTCAAACAATTGACGTCAAAGAGGCTAATACCCCTTTGGATCCAAGTATCAAGTTGATAAAAAATGATGGAAGAGCAATAGCTCAAATAGAATATGCAAGTGGAATTGAAAGTCTTATGTACGCAGCATAACGTACAAGACTTGATATTGCATTTGTTGCGAGTAAATAAGTAGGTTTACTAGCAATCCAAGTTCCGAACATTGGAAGACCATCGGTGGGGTTCTTGGTTACTTAAAGAAAACCAAAAACTTTGGATTACAGTATACAAAGTTTTCTATTATCTTTGAAGGATATACTGGTGCTATTTGGATATCAAGTACGAGAGAAAACAAGTCCACTTTAGGTTGGGTATTTACTTTGGGAGGAGGTGCAATTTCTTGAAAATTTAAGAAACAAACATACATTTCTTATTCAACAATGGAGTCGAAATTTGTAGCATTGGCTGAAACTGGAAAAGAAATCGAGCGGCTAAGAGATATATTATATGAAATACCTTTAGATATAAAGGATATTTCCTCAATACCTATCTTGTGTGATAGTCAAACTACTTTAGCTCGGTCATACATCCAAGCATATAATGAAAAGTTTAGATATATGAGTCTAAGACATGAGTATGTGAGAAAATTAATTAAGTATGGAATAATTTCTCTTAGATATGTAAAATCTAGTGAAAACATAGCTGATTTGTTGGCTAAACCTCTTACAAGAGAGTTGGTAAGATTAACATCAAGTAGGATGTGGTTGAAACTCTTTAATTAAACACATCAATGATGGCAACCCTACCAAAGATATATTAAACAAGTATATTTTGCTTCAAAGGGTAATAACAAATTATTCGATAAGTGGATAGATTTCAACACTATTAAAATTATTAAATGCTATCCTTGGTAGATAGTGTTGGTTGTTACGGTTGGAGAGATGAGTTATAAAACTCTTAATGAAGTTTTAAAAAGTAACAGAGATACTGAAAGAATTTAATTGAGTGGAATAGATATATAACAAAAGTTGTAAATATTTAGTATTTAAATGAATGAATTTAATAAGGTGCTGCTATTTACACACACCCACATTTATCTAAATTAATCCACTAAATTTAACTTATGAACAACTTTTTTTTTTTCTAGCAGTTGTTAATTAAATCATTTCTCAATATGTAACATGTTTGTCGGCAAAAAAAATGACTTATTTTGTGTGTGGAGTTTTCTCATAAGCCATGTAGAGCCCAATTGAAGCCAAATCTAAGGGTTTTTTGAGTCACATTTTTCTCAAAAAATGCATTTTGAAATAGTGTTATGATAGAAAATGTAAGATTAAAAAATAAAAAAAAAGTTTTGTATTTGCATTAATATTATTTTATTAAAAATGTGTGATTGAAATGATATCAAATCACTATTGAATAATGTATTTTGATTAAAAAAAAAAGGGGCTCAAACAAGGGCTTCACGGCATTATCGACAATTGCATAGATCTATAGCAAGGGACAAGGTTTTCTTGCTTGGTATTGCACTAAAAACTGGCAACAATCTACTGTGAATGAGGGAAAAAATGGTACATTTGTTCATCACTAGTGGGCACCAATTTAATCTCGAGTTCCAATATTTACTATAAGGATAAGTCATCATCCACTAAACTTGGAAAACAATATCAAGTTTATTTGTGTGAAAACATGTTTTAAAACTGGATTTTTTTGTGGGCTGGGGTTAGGGACGGGGGATTTGGGGAAGACGAAGATGAAGATGAAAAACTAATTCTTTTGGGAAAGAAGAAGATGAAGAGGAATGAAAATATTGGACAGTGACTTGAATGAAATTAGTATTGTTTTTATAGTTTTAAAAATTTAACGGGAATATGTATGGCAATAGTGGCTCCCATTTAATGAGGGATTAAGTAGGAACGCAACGTGAATAAAAGTATACTACTTTTTAAAATTTAAAATTTTAATTTGGATGCATTTATAGGGGGGTAAATTTTTCTTTATTTTTATTTTATTTTTTTATAACTATGTGTGTCCAAACCAACTCACGCGCACCTCGACTAATCCCACAGGACTTTGAAATTTACAGTCGGATACTCAACTCAGTGGTCCTGAGGGGACTCGAACTGGTGACCATTGAGGAGTAAATCCAAAGTCTGACCATTGAACTACCCCTCAAGATTTAAGGAGATAAATTTTTATAAAAATGATGGATGAAAATAATAACTCACTAAGAGCATTTCTAATAAACTTTTTAAACATAATATGCTCTCTATTTTAAAAAGGCAATCATTAAAATTATGCTCAAAGAGACCCCTATAAATTAACATTTTAACCCTTGTTTGACACTCTTTAAAAGTTTAATACATTATTCTCTCTTCTTTTCAATCTCACATCTTCAATAAAATAATATTATACATAAATAAAACAAAATTTTCTTCTTTTTAACTACACACATTATCCCAAAAAATACTATTCTATAATACATTTTCTCAGAATTTGTCTTTATAATTGTGCTTAAACAATGGCTTAATTTGAAAAGTGTGTTTGACTTTCCAACTTTTTATAATTAAATGCATTCAAAGTGTTTCAATTTTCAATATAAGAAAATAATAAAATAATTTAGAGAAAATTTAGTCAAAATAAAAGATTGACCAAAAAAAAAAAAATTGGAGTAATAAAATTAAGTGTTAAATATAAAAAGTTTGTTAGAGTACTTCAGAACTTTAACTCTTTAAATTTATATGTGCTCTCTAAATGATAAAATATGCTTTTTAAAAATAAAAAGTCTCTTGAAAATACTCTAAAAGAATTAATCCAAACTCCGATCAAGTTGTATCAGAGTTAAGCCCCAACCATAGCCCCACGGACGCACAAGGATCCTCAGTTGTACCACTTTAGGAACACTTTTTTTCAAAACGTTTTACTTATTTATAAAAGTTCTATTAATAACAGCAATGGACTTCGAGAGAAGTAATAAAAAAAGTCGTCTGTTCATTTTTCGCATATTTTGTAATACCTAAAAGAGATAAATTAAAATAAAAATAAATATCAGAACTCGGAAACTTCATTAGCACATACCAATTGTCATCCTAGTCATGTTCTACAGCTTGCTTATTACTATCTAATTAATAAAGTCCATAGCTCAGAAAGCTTAGAGGTTGCAAATTCACTCTTATCGCAAGTTTTTGATAGCATAATTGTCGAAATAATCTCAACTGAACATTACAGCTCTCAATTGGCACACATCACAAAGAATTAAAACCATTTGTAATGACAATCAAAAGAACTGCTCCAAGCAATTGTTTTCAGACAATAAATTCTACAGAATTTACTCCAGTTCCTCCAAGAAGCAATTTCAAATGTCAATCCTTCAATCAGAGCTTTCTTTGTCTCTTCAGTTGTTGCCTCTCTAAAGGAGGAAGTATCAGTGTGGTAATTATCTACAAGTTGGGCAATACCACTTTCCTTTAAATCTCGTCTCTGGTGTCAAGCCAACACAAGCATAATGAAACCATTCGCCCCCTTGGCACTGTCAACGGAAACCCAGCATTAGGTAATATACAAAGTATGTCTTTAACTCTCAAGTAGATGTTTTATTTTTCCTCCAAATGGCTAGTCAAAACAATTAATGCCTCATGTTTCTGTATTATCAATTTAATTACCAATATCCATGAAATGATAGATTTCACAAGCATTGCATGCAGCAGCAACACTGTTTACAAAAATACTAAATCCAGAAATTTGGATGCAGCTTAACATCATATATTTATCATCCATAGTGAATATTTTTATCTCAGCATGAACCCAACAAGTGTTTCAACTGTTACTGAAAATTATGTTGCCTTTGCTTCAAACAATCAGAAATTCCTCATCAAAATTCTATATGCAATTGGCCCAAAAAGAATATGACGAGGAGTAAAAGAATAGGAGGGAAAAAAAAAAAAAGGAGAGAGGGAATGGCAATTTACATTTTCATTGTCGCAAGCAATCATATCACCAAAAGATACCTGTAAGATTAGAATAACTTTAGTATCCGGAGGCATAGAATGATTTGGAAAATAATTAGTGCATAGATGTCAGAACCTGATGACAGACGCAGTAGGTAGGTTCATTTGGATCAATAGGTTGATCAAGCTCGACAGGTGAAGAAAAATCCTTTTTAAGGCTCCCCGGAGGAGGCATAAGCTCAAAATCTCTATCACGCTCCCTGTCCCAATCCCGATCCCTGTAGTCAAACCTCTTTGACTGAGGAGTTCCATAAAGATATTTGCGTTTTTCATTTTTGGGAACTAAAGGTAATGGAGGTAGTACAACTGGATCATCTGGTGCTAATTTTCCTTCTGCAAAATTGGAGAAAAAGATATGACAATATGAAGAACATAAGGTATTACAACATTCCACACCAGCTCTTGTTAGGCTAATGCTTTATTGCCATTAAAATATACAACCAACATAATTTGAGAATCAGCAAAATGATTGGCTTGCTTAGGTGACCCTTCTGGTATGACATATTACAGTCCTCTCTTTTCAAAGAACTGAAGCTCCAGTATTAATGTAACACCAGATGGGTCAAAGAAAGGCTCTGTCTAGGTCCAGAAACGTACAGAACTACTTGTTGTACAGAAATCCGGCAGCTTAAATTAATAGGGAATCTGCTAAAATGGTCAGAAAATTCTAACTGATCATTTCATTATTTAATTATCTAATAATACAACACCAATATATGGCCCAAGAAGCAGTTGGTGTACCTTGTTTCAGATCTTCTGCAAAGTAGTTCAGATCCTCATCAAGTCGTTTTATGTGGCTATCTATCTGAAGAGAAGTGGGAAAGAAGCAAGAGAACATATTTCAACTCTTCAGCATATGTGTAATATAAGAATACTGATCAATTAATTGTATTTGCACGTAAGTAGGTGAAGTTAATAATTATTGAAACTACTGCAATAACATAATGCTTTAAGCAAGGTCCAAAGATATAAAAGTCTAGAGGCTCTTTCCACCCACCTTCACTCCATAAACCCAGGGGTGCCGGCCAGGGGGGGGGGGGCTCAGGAAAAGAAAGCATCTAAATTTCAAAAGTTGTGTCTCCAAACTAAACCAAAAGACCATCATCCTTGGAAAAACCAACATAGTTTAATGGTAACCAATGTCACTGCAATGACTTGTCAAAGAGCAGAAGCAAGACTAACTTCTTGGGAAAATGAGTAATTTGTTGGATGACGCTTGTTATGCCAGCAGAAGTTGCAAGAGAAATTCTAGTAAGAGTTTATTCTTGCCAAAAGTTTGGGAAAAGCATTAAATTTAATATTTTTCCCTCTGTTCGTGTGTTACAAGACGACCAATTGCTTATATTTAAAATTCATAAACAACCTCATTGTCTCTAAATCGAACATAGTTGTTCAATAGAAACGAGCTTTTTATTTCTGCATAATTTAACAACAGTAATACAAGAAGTGATACCAACTAACATGCAGTCAAGTGCAGTAGCAATGATGACATTGTGAGCTTACAAGATCATATGCTTGTCGGGCCAATAGAACCTTTTCAGTGCAGAGACCGAGTGCACTGTCCTGGTTGGCCTCAATATCTTTTTGAAGCTTTTCAAATGTTTCATTGTCTTCATCGCTGTTGACACCATATTTCTTAGAGAATAAGCCCCCATATCCTTGAGATGCCAATCCCAAACAGTACTTGGTTTGCTGCCTTGTCTGGTTTATCATTGCTTCAATTTTGTGCATTCACATATACATTTATACGCATTAGCTAAATCTGTCCTTTATTTCTTACTTACACAAGGCACAATCAAAGCAGAAAACAGAAAACGAAGGAGAAACCTTGGGATCGGTCATCCAGTTCTCGAATAGTATTGAGCAATCTCTGAAGCTCCGCGGGTAACGTACTCGAATCTACAATTATTATTATGAAATATCCTTATTATTCACGAACAATTTCATCTAGCAATTCAGCTTTACAAAAAAAATTAATTAGAAAACTGATAAAAATGAAAATCTCACACTCCAAATAGTCGTCGACGTAAACACCGGTTCTTGCTATGGCCATGTTGAGTTAATTGTTGCTTCTAGGGTTCCGCACTGCAAACAGAGCAGAGAAAATTCACGGGGAAAAGGGGGGGAGGGGAGGGGGTGGGATTAGTGAGTGAAACGATGCCGTATCTCTTATTTTAAGATTCGTTAAAGAAGCCTCTATTATAGCAGCTGAGATCCAAAATCTTTCAAACTTTAGCAAAATATACTCAAACCTTTCGTTTTGACAGCTGAGGTCCCAAAACCTTTCATGATGATGGCAGCCGTGGGACATTTGGATGGAAACCATTTGTCGACCAAAAAAATTAAAATTTTAACCCTGTTTAACCCATATTCTTTTAAAAAAATATATTTTTAAACGGTAATTTGACATCATTTCAATCACACATTATTCAATAAAATAATATTACATGCAAATCCAAAACTTTTCTTTATTTCTTAACCACACATTTTCCATCAATACACTATTCAAAAATACATTCTAATAAAAATAATGTGGCCCAAACAAAAGCTTGACTCTTTTGAATGAATTAAGTGATGGGGTGAAGTTGTAACTCTATAGTTTTCCCACAAATAATTTAAATAATAGGGAATTAAAAAAAGAAAAAACCTTTTTGCTATTCATCATCTTCCCCAAAATCCTAGCATACCCCACTCCAACCCAACTGTAACGTCTCGACCCCTTGTGGATCGAAACGCTATTACTTTACTTAACTAACCAGTGGTTTACTTATAGAAGAATATGTTTTAGCAGAAGTTTAATTTTTCCAATGATAATTTTAAACAACAACATTTCAAATACTTTAAATAAAACACTGAAATAAAAAAAAGGAACGTAATTTATTTGAGCTCTTTCCACCCACCTTCACTCCATAAACCCAGGGGTGCCGGCCAGGGGGGGGGGGGCTCAGGAAAAGAAAGCATCTAAATTTCAAAAGTTGTGTCTCCAAACTAAACCAAAAGACCATCATCCTTGGAAAAACCAACATAGTTTAATGGTAACCAATGTCACTGCAATGACTTGTCAAAGAGCAGAAGCAAGACTAACTTCTTGGGAAAATGAGTAATTTGTTGGATGACGCTTGTTATGCCAGCAGGAGTTGCAAGAGAAATTCTAGTAAGAGTTTATTCTTGCCAAAAGTTTGGGAAAAGCATTAAATTTAATATTTTTCCCTCTGTTCGTGTGTTACAAGACGACCAATTGCTTATATTTAAAATTCATAAACAACCTCATTGTCTCTAAATCGAACATAGTTGTTCAATAGAAACGAGCTTTTTATTTCTGCATAATTTAACAACAGTAATACAAGAAGTGATACCAACTAACATGCAGTCAAGTGCAGTAGCACTGATGACATTGTGAGCTTACAAGATCATATGCTTGTCGGGCCAATAGAACCTTTTCAGTGCAGAGACCGAGTGCACTGTCCTGGTTGGCCTCAATATCTTTTTGAAGCTTTTCAAATGTTTCATTGTCTTCATCGCTGTTGACACCATATTTCTTAGAGAATAAGCCCCCATATCCTTGAGATGCCAATCCCAAACAGTACTTGGTTTGCTGCCTTGTCTGGTTTATCATTGCTTCAATTTTGTGCATTCACATATACATTTATACGCATTAGCTAAATCTGTCCTTTATTTCTTACTTACACAAGGCACAATCAAAGCAGAAAACAGAAAACGAAGGAGAAACCTTGGGATCGGTCATCCAGTTCTCGAATAGTATTGAGCAATCTCTGAAGCTCCGCGGGTAACGTACTCGAATCTACAATTATTATTATGAAATATCCTTATTATTCACGAACAATTTCATCTAGCAATTCAGCTTTACAAAAAAAATTAATTAGAAAACTGATAAAAATGAAAATCTCACACTCCAAATAGTCGTCGACGTAAACACCGGTTCTTGCTATGGCCATGTTGAGTTAATTGTTGCTTCTAGGGTTCCGCACTGCAAACAGAGCAGAGAAAATTCACGGGGAAAAGGGGGGGAGGGGAGGGGGTGGGATTAGTGAGTGAAACGATGCCGTATCTCTTATTTTAAGATTCGTTAAAGAAGCCTCTATTATAGCAGCTGAGATCCAAAATCTTTCAAACTTTAGCAAAATATACTCAAACCTTTCGTTTTGACAGCTGAGGTCCCAAAACCTTTCATGATGATGGCAGCCGTGGGACATTTGGATGGAAACCATTTGTCGACCAAAAAAATTAAAATTTTAACCCTGTTTAACCCATATTCTTTTAAAAAAATATATTTTTAAACGGTAATTTGACATCATTTCAATCACACATTATTCAATAAAATAATATTACATGCAAATCCAAAACTTTTCTTTATTTCTTAACCACACATTTTCCATCAATACACTATTCAAAAATACATTCTAATAAAAATAATGTGGCCCAAACAAAAGCTTGACTCTTTTGAATGAATTAAGTGATGGGGTGAAGTTGTAACTCTATAGTTTTCCCACAAATAATTTAAATAATAGGGAATTAAAAAAAGAAAAAACCTTTTTGCTATTCATCATCTTCCCCAAAATCCTAGCATACCCCACTCCAACCCAACTGTAACGTCTCGACCCCTTGTGGATCGAAACGCTATTACTTTACTTAACTAACCAGTGGTTTACTCATAGAAGAATATGTTTTAGCAGAAGTTTAATTTTTACAATGATAATTTTAAACAACAACATTTCAAATACTTTAAATAAAACACTGAAATAAAAAAAAGGAACGTAATTTATTTGAAAAAACACAACTTGTTCCCGCTTCAGCGTTATTCAAATACTTTAAAGAAATAACATTGAAAACGTTCACAAAAATAAATCTAAATAACTTGTTCACCGGGTTTTCCATGGATTCGTTGCACCACTCTCTATCTTTTCCATCATCCAGACCCAAGATAGGATCATATCAATCTGTAAAGAAGGGGTTAAACCCGTGAGTTAGAAAAGACTCAATAGATATCATTGGTACATTCCTGATCAAGTTATACATTTCAAAGCTGTAAACTTAGAAATCTTTTCATAGTAGGATTTTCGATAGAATCCCAAACACGTAGAGTCATGACTTAACACGACGCCTCAACCGGAAGTACATGTCGTACCCGGAGGTACCATTAGACATGGAGGTGTATGCCATACCGGAGGTACCATTAGATATACAAACATTAACATAAATCTTCATTTGCTAGAAACTTATAATTTAACACGAATTAACACTTTGTACCTCTACCTACCTTGATTGATGCTTTGAACCTTGTTGAAAAATGAACTACTTTGATATTTAAAAAAAAAACTCCGTTGAGAATTGATGCTTGGAAAACACTTCTTGATAGCACCAAAATTTCTAGGAAAAACTAATTTTCCTCCCTCTCCTTTCTCTTTTTTCTAGATTCGAAAACTCTCTCTTTTATATTTAGAAGCTTTTGTCTTAGTGTGAAAAATGTGTATGCATTGGGGCCTATTTATAGGTGAAAATTTCACAACTTAAGGGCAAGTGAAGGGCCTAATACTCATTAATACGGGTGCCATTTATGTGGGAGTTATAGGTTTAAGAAGGTGCTAGAAAATCTTGTAGGAATTTGACTTTTCATATTCTGCGTCCTTCGGTTGATACTGTACAATTTTTAGTATTTCTATCATAACTTCTTCTCCTGATATCCGATTGAGGTAATTCAAAGTGCGTTGGAAAGCTAACTCAAAGAGTTACAACTTTTCTTTAAATATCATTTTTCAAATCGAATGTTTTCTATTTCGTAAATGGGTCTCAAATGAGATTAAAAATCTAAAGTATACTTTAGCCATCCAATATTCATGTCTTAGTGCCACTAAGGTGTTTAAAATTATTTGGGGTTCTATATCCCCCACACCTTAATTAAAATTTCGTCTTCGAAATTTACCTTCTGATTGGGCAAATAGTGCTGGATACTTGTTTTTGGCTTCCTCTTCCCCTTCCCAAGTGGCCTCTTTTTCTTCATCAAGTTCAATTACTATCTCTAGTTGAGGTTCTAAGTTTTCCCTCCATAAGTCTAGGAGTGATTGGCAATACACTTCAAACTCAAATATATTTGGGTGCTCCTCTAGCATTACATCCCTAACCGTGACTCTCATATCTCCCCATTGAGGTGGAAGGGAGTGTATGAGGTTATTTATAGCCTCAATACGCGTTATCTCCATTCCAGTGTTCACAACTGTCATGCATAGAGACATCATATATATGTTCGTCAAGTGGACGAAGCAGATCAGTTGCGTAATTCTCATAGGACTGAATGACGATTCTACAGTTCAATGCTTCTCTATATGCCCTATCCATTCTACGAGCCATATCTGTTGCATTTTCACATATCATACACTTTTTTTTTTACTCTTGGAAAAATGGCTACTATTACATAACGTTTTACCTATAAATTCTAACCCAATGTGTATCTTTTGAAAAAAAAAAACCCCTACCTTTCAAATCAATTCTAACTAGAATAGTATATCTTTGAAAATAAGTATAAGTTGTACCATAGCATCGCAAAGTATCATAACATAGTTTTTTCATGAAAACATTAACTTTGAACATACCTGGGCCGTAGGATGAGATTGATGGATGGATGCAAGATGCCATGAAATATTTTAGACATTTTCATTTTTTTTTAAAAAAAAACATACTTGGTCTACAGAACTGGCTAAATCGTGCTCTGATACCACGTTGTAACACCCCGACCCCTTGTGGACCAGAACGCTACTTACTTTACTTAACTAACCGGTGGTTTAATCATAGGAGAATATGTTTCAACGGAAGCTTAATTTTCACAATGATAATTTTAAACAACAACATTTCGAATACTTTAAATAAAACACTGAAATAAAAAAAAAAGGGAACGTAATTTATTTGAAGAAAACACAACTTGTTCCCGCGTTTAACGTTATTCAAATACTTTAAAGAAATAACATTGAAAACGTTCACAAAAATAATTTTAAATAACTTGTTCATCGGGTTTTCCATGGGCTCGTTGTACCACTCTCCATCTTTTTCATCATCCAGGCCCAAGGTAGAATCATACGAATCTGTAGAGAAGGGGTTAAACCCGTGAGTTAAAAAAACTTAATAGATATCATTGGTGCATTCCTGATCAAGCTATACATTTCAAAACTGTAACTTTAGAAACCTTTTCATAGTAGGATTTTCAATAGAATCCCAAACACATAGAGTCATGACTTAACACGATACCTCGACCGAAAGTACATGCCGTACCCGGAGGTACCATTAGACATGGAGGTGTATGCCGTACCGGAGGTACCATTAGACATACAAACATTAACATAAATCTTCATTTGCTAGAAACTTATAACTTAACACGAATTAACACTTTGCACCTCTACCTACCTTGATTGATACTTTGAACCTTGTTGAAAAATGCACTCCTTTGATGTTTCAAAAAAAAAACTCCGTTGAGAATTGATGCTTGGAAAACACTTCTTGATAGCACCAAAACTTCTAGGAAAAACTAATTTTCCTCCCTCTCTTTTCTCTTTTTTCTAGATTTGAAAATTCTCTGTTTTATGCTTAGAAGTTTTTATCTTGGTGTGAAAAATGTATATCCATTGGGGCCTATTTATAGGTGAAAATCTCACAACTTAAGGGCAAGTGAAGGGCCTAATACTCCTTAATACGGGTGCAATTTATGTGGAGTTATAGGTTTAAGAAGGTGCTAGAAAATCGTGTAGAAATTTGACTTTTCATATTCTGCGTACTTCGATTGATACTGTACAGTTTTTAGTATTTCTATCATAACTTCTTCTCCCAATTTTCGATTGAGGTAATTCAAAGTGCGTTGGAAACCTAACTCAAAGAGCTACAACTTTTCTTTAGATATCATTTTCCAAATCGAATGTTTTCTATGTTGTAGATGGGTCTCAATTGAGACTAAAAATCAGAAGTATACTTTAGTCATCCAATATTCATGTCTTAGTGCCACTAAGGTGTTTAAAATTATTTGGGGTTCTATACCAACCCATCCCAACCCCCACAAAATTTACTATCGTTGTCGTCACTTGCCACCACCAGCAAAATCCAACCTCCACCAATTTGGGAAAAATAAAATGATTTTGAAAAAAAGAAAAAGAAAAAAAATCATAGTACTTTCAAGAGCAAATCCAGTTCTTCTTTGAAGAGTAGTATTAGTGTTTCAAGATCCTTTGAAAATCCCACTTGACAAATACTTAAGCTTTTTCATATTTGTTTTCAATTTAAGAAAATATTATTTGCCTTGAGCTTCTAAAAATGCTTTTTTACCTAATCCATGTATTCTACACTTCTTCGAGCACTTGTAAACCAAATCCATGTATTTTGGGATGTTCGTTCTTGACACTCCAAAATGGCACCAACAGATGTCCATCCTCGTCCCCTTCAAACCTGCAAACATAACACCCCGTTAAGAAGCAAGGTCGTCGATCGAGAGAGTGTGTGCGCAATAGTATGGAAATGATGGATTTGGCTAGAGAGTTAAAACGTCTGATTGTGTGAATTGAATCCATATAAATAGAGAAATGATAGTAAAATGGGCCAACCGAGTTGTGTAATATGGGCCTAACTCCAAACCCAATAAGGAGGTGATTATATAAGCATAATAATAGGCACCTCGGCTTTGGAACTTTTACTCAGCTGCCACTTAGACCTTTGATGTCCAATTCTAATGGGCCTCACCCGGGTTCAATAAGATGGCCCAATATGAAGTGATAATTTATAAGTATAACAGTAGTCCCCCCAAGTTCAAGGATGAATATTTATATCATTCATGGACTTTTAAGATCTGCTGAGCATATGGTTGGCACTTTAGTTTGGTTTGTGGTTGAAGTTGTTCTCTGTCGACTCGTTGAACCATAGGGGACGACGCGCAGGAGTTAACTGAAAGCTCTTCAATTTGCTTGATGACACCTGGGAGATGATTTGAAACTTTGTAAAGCTTTTGCAATGCTGCGACCAAGACACTAACCCACAGGGGATGACGCGTCATGAGGGTTGGAGCTTTATAAAGCCGAAGAGCGCATGAGGCATTATAAAGCTTTTGCAATGCTGCGACCAAAGCGCTGACCTACAAGGACGACGCGACGGAAGGGTTGAAGCTATCCGCTAACCAAAGGGCTAACTCGAGAGCTAGTTGTAAAAGCATCGAGGGGAATGGGCTTGCAGCCTATGACGTTGAAAGGTATCATGGTGGAAACCCATCCTAGCTGAATGGAGATCCCAGGATCCAGGTTCAAAGGGACAACTAAAACATGTATATCTGTGTAAATTACTGAGAATGTTCTCCTTCTGCTCATTCTTTTGGTGCTCACAGTGATAGAAAAATGCAGGTTAAGCTATGCTTTTAATGATCATTAAGCGTTGTTGTGAAAAACTGAGTTAAGAGGTCACCTATGTGAGTGTGAAGTGGGGCCGCTTCTATAAGGATTGGCAAGGCTACATCTTTGAAAAAACACTTGCAGAACCAGGCGACGTGTTCATGGCCAAAACGAACACAACAGTAAGAACTATGCTGTGACTAGAATGGTCCTGTGTGAGATCTATTGTCTTGGTTTACACAAATGGCGAAACAATTCAAGGCATCAGGTTTACTGGTATGCTAGTAATTCCCGATAGGTTTCACAAGGGAAGGTTCAAAGCTAAATGCTACATATCCTATGCAGGATTGATTAACCAAAAGACCATCATCCTTGGAAAAACCAACATAGTTTAATGGTAACCAATGTCACTGCAATGACTTGTCAAAGAGCAGAAGAAAGACTAACTTCTTGGGAAAGTGAGTAATTTGTTGGATGACGCTTGTTATGCCAGCAGGCGATAGGTTTCACAAGGGAAGGTTCAAAGCTAAATGCTACATATCCTATGCAGGATTGATTCGTTTTACTCTCTCTTTCCTCTTTCCTCTTAGTTTCCATTTTTCATTCATGTGGGGGATTGTTAGAATTAAATGAAAAATATTGAATAGAAGTCTCTTCATTTGTTGTAACTCAAGTCCTTTAAGTTGCAAGAGAAATTCTAGTAAGAGTTTATTCTTGCCAAAAGTTTGGGAAAAGCATTAAATTTAATATTTTTCCCTCTGTTCGTGTGTTACAAGACGACCAATTGCTTATATTTAAAATTCATAAACAACCTCATTGTCTCTAAATCGAACATAGTTGTTCAATAGAAACGAGCTTTTTATTTCTGCATAATTTAACAACAGTAATACAAGAAGTGATACCAACTAACATGCAGTCAAGTGCAGTAGCACTGATGACATTGTGAGCTTACAAGATCATATGCTTGTCGGGCCAATAGAACCTTTTCAGTGCAGAGACCGAGTGCACTGTCCTGGTTGGCCTCAATATCTTTTTGAAGCTTTTCAAATGTTTCATTGTCTTCATCGCTGTTGACACCATATTTCTTAGAGAATAAGCCCCCATATCCTTGAGATGCCAATCCCAAACAGTACTTGGTTTGCTGCCTTGTCTGGTTTATCATTGCTTCAATTTTGTGCATTCACATATACATTTATACGCATTAGCTAAATCTGTCCTTTATTTCTTACTTACACAAGGCACAATCAAAGCAGAAAACAGAAAACGAAGGAGAAACCTTGGGATCGGTCATCCAGTTCTCGAATAGTATTGAGCAATCTCTGAAGCTCCGCGGGTAACGTACTCGAATCTACAATTATTATTATGAAATATCCTTATTATTCACGAACAATTTCATCTAGCAATTCAGCTTTACAAAAAAAATTAATTAGAAAACTGATAAAAATGAAAATCTCACACTCCAAATAGTCGTCGACGTAAACACCGGTTCTTGCTATGGCCATGTTGAGTTAATTGTTGCTTCTAGGGTTCCGCACTGCAAACAGAGCAGAGAAAATTCACGGGGAAAAGGGGGGGAGGGGAGGGGGTGGGATTAGTGAGTGAAACGATGCCGTATCTCTTATTTTAAGATTCGTTAAAGAAGCCTCTATTATAGCAGCTGAGATCCAAAATCTTTCAAACTTTAGCAAAATATACTCAAACCTTTCGTTTTGACAGCTGAGGTCCCAAAACCTTTCATGATGATGGCAGCCGTGGGACATTTGGATGGAAACCATTTGTCGACCAAAAAAATTAAAATTTTAACCCTGTTTAACCCATGTTCTTTTAAAAAAATATATTTTTAAACGGTAATTTGACATCATTTCAATCACACATTATTCAATAAAATAATATTACATGCAAATCCAAAACTTTTCTTTATTTCTTAACCACACATTTTCCATCAATACACTATTCAAAAATACATTCTAATAAAAATAATGTGGCCCAAACAAAAGCTTGACTCTTTTGAATGAATTAAGTGATGGGGTGAAGTTGTAACTCTATAGTTTTCCCACAAATAATTTAAATAATAGGGAATTAAAAAAAGAAAAAACCTTTTTGCTATTCATCATCTTCCCCAAAATCCTAGCATACCCCACTCCAACCCAACTGTAACGTCTCGACCCCTTGTGGATCGAAACGCTATTACTTTACTTAACTAACCAGTGGTTTACTCATAGAAGAATATGTTTTAGCAGAAGTTTAATTTTTACAATGATAATTTTAAACAACAACATTTCAAATACTTTAAATAAAACACTGAAATAAAAAAAAGGAACGTAATTTATTTGAAAAAACACAACTTGTTCCCGCTTCAGCGTTATTCAAATACTTTAAAGAAATAACATTGAAAACGTTCACAAAAATAAATCTAAATAACTTGTTCACCGGGTTTTCCATGGATTCGTTGCACCACTCTCTATCTTTTCCATCATCCAGACCCAAGATAGGATCATATCAATCTGTAAAGAAGAGGTTAAACCCGTGAGTTAAAAAAAACTCAATAGATATCATTGGTGCATTCCTGATCAAGTTATACATTTCAAAGCTGTAAACTTAGAAATCTTTTCATAGTAGGATTTTCGATAGAATCCCAAACACGTAGAGTCATGACTTAACACGACGCCTCAACCGGAAGTACATGTCGTACCCGGAGGTACCATTAGACGTGGAGGTGTATGCCATACCGGAGGTACCATTAGATATACAAACATTAACATAAATCTTCATTTGCTAGAAACTTATAACTTAACACGAATTAACACTTTGTACCTCTACCTACCTTGATTGATGCTTTGAACCTTGTTGAAAAATGA